CATATAGCCATACAATTGTATTTTGATCATATTCACTTTCCATTCCTCCCTCTAATTTACCCCCATCCCGCCCCAACTTATGTCCCCCTTTTTTTATACCCCACTGAGTATAATTTATGCTACCCCTAAATGTATGGGTATGGGGCATCCACTAGAAGGTCATTGACCAACCAGGGACAACACCCCTAAATAAAGCTGACTTTTCCTCCACTAGCAGCCATCAGCTCTTCAGCATGGGGTGGGGGCTTGTGAGCCCCTCCATGCTGGAAACCCATCTTATTTTTTGAGACAGGTTCTCTTCACTGAATCTTAAGTTCACTGTTTCAGCTGGACTGTCTGGCAAGCAAGTTCCCAGGACCCACCTGTTTTTGCCCTACAGCACTAGGGTTACTGGAACATGCCACTGTGCCCTTCTTTTTACGTGGGATTTGGGGTTTAGCACTCAGGGCCTCATGTTTTCACAGCAAGCGCTTTATCTACTGAGCCATCTCTCCAGCTCCATATGCTAACTTTATTAAAACTCCAGAAGGCAGTCATGAGTAGTTTTAATATCACACGAAGAAGCAGGCACAGAGAAGTTAAGGGACAGGCTCAGGTATTACTGGAATACCAGAGTTTGTGCTGTCTGACACCACAAGGCCAATGAGCAGACAGGAACTCAATCTTGAAGTTGTGCTTTATTCAGAGAGCTGGCAATCTGAGTAGGCAGCAGGTTAGCACCCTAAAAATTACCTTCCCCCTCATCTTCATCTCCAGATTATCTATGGAGCTCAGGAGTGGTAAAAACACAGGCACATCCATCAATTCCAGAGTTCAGTCTTACTCCTCTGGTCAGGTGGTCAGTCTCATTTCTGAGACTTGCATCTCTCTCTCTCTCTCTCTCTCTCTCTCTCTCTCTCTCTCTCTCTCTCTGCCTGGAGTGCCTCTCTGAGACTCTTCCCACAATGACTGTCCCTCTGAGTCCAATCTGAAGCACAGCTTTCCCCAGGGGCTTCCATTGCTGTTCCATAACCACCTGCATGCCACTCTGCTCCGTTCCCTTATTCACTGTGTCTGCCTGTGAAACAACCCAGCATAGCGAATAGATTGCTTCTTGGTTCTCTGTCCTCCCTCTCCTCTTTCAGTCCCCAAGCAAGAATCTGGTCTGCCCTTCCCACCACACCTCAGAAACAGGGCCTGGTGCTCCCTGAAGGCATGGGGACTGTAGCCTTGAAATCAGGGCAGCATAGTGCCAGCACATAAAGCTATCACTAATCTTGGTACACTGGCCTTTTTATGTGTCCTTCCATCCTTGAGTTCACAGAGAAGTGAGTCGGGCATTGGTTTGTGGAGGCTGGTAGGGGCAGGTGAGAGCAAGTTGGGAAGGTCAGGGCAAGTTCCTCAGACAAGGGGATATTTGAGCTCCATGGCAAAAGAAAGGCAAGAGCCTGGGGCAGAAAAGAGGAAGTGGCTATGCCAGGAAAGGAGCTATGAAGAGCATCCGTGTGGGAAAGCGGCCTCTTGGGCAACAGGAACCAAGCACAGAGTAAAGGCAGCCCATGAAGTTCACATCCATCACCTCAGGTGCCTCAACTGATGTAGCTGTTCACATCTCAAGACTCTGGATTGGTGAGACTGCCCAGATACTATCACTGGCAGGTGTTTACCACACAAAGCTCATATGACTTTTAGAAACAGAACTGTCTTCTTCCAGGTCCCCCAGGCTCTGTTACCCCGCCGCTCCTTGCACCCTTTTGCCATGTTGACAGCACCCAAAGCGGCAGAGTGTGCCAGCAGACAGAGTAAGCCTGTTTACTTCTGGCATGTAGAAAAAGTTAAATTAACTAGAGGGTGGGTGCACAAGGTAAGGTTAAATGGTAATCATGAGTAGATTTCTGTCTGGTGGGATTAATAATAATCAGGATTCTTTATAACCTGTTCCCCCACATTACCCAAATCAGAAAGGCTTATTTCTCAGATTCTTTGGTGGTGGTGGTAGTGGTGGTGGTGGTGGTGGTGTGTGTGTTTGTGGGGGGGGGGGTGATGCAAGCAAGATTGAACACTGTGGGTAGACACATATTTCTAAAGTTCCATATTCAGATGCGGTTGCTGCCTATGTCTGCAGGTGTCAAGCTGAGAGGAGGAACAATGAATAAAAAAGTCACCAGCTCCACAAAGGAAGGAATGGCACAGGGTACAAATCCTGGAAAAGGTTCTCATGCACACAGCCAAAGAATAAAGTAGGTCTAAGGATAAATGTTGTGGGATAATTGTGTTTATAATCTGGTTGAAAATTGAGCCTTTCAAGGCAGAAGTTGTGGGTTTGAATATAGTGCCTGTTACTTATCAGCTATGTGGCTTTGAATGGGCTACTTTACCTGCCTGCTGCAGAAAATGGGGAAAATAATGATACCCATCCCTTAAGTTTGTTGAAATGATTAATTGAGGTTATGGATGAGAGGTTAGAATGGCACTTGGTACATAGTAAACCCTAAATAAATGTGAACTATGATTAGCTTTCACCTCTTGAAAAATCCAATTCACAAATTAGTTGGCTGTTAGTTGATTCCAATAGGGAGGAGGCTTATATTAATATTTGTATCTGAAATGTTCCTGAGGAGAATTTGATACAAATGAGAATTCTATCTTTTCTTTTGTGGAATCTCCTCTACTCCTGTCCTAGTCATCTGATCCTCAATTGTTATGCTGTAGAATTTAGAGAATGATCAGAGATGGATGGGGCTAGAGGGAAAGTAGAGAGAATCTGTCATGTTGTGGTTCATACTCCAGCTCTGATTTTCAATCATATGGCTCAAAGTGAAGAGAGATGTCAAAAGAATCCAGAGAGACCAAGTTGATCAACATGATAAAAGCTGAGATGGGAGATAATCCAAAGAGCTGAAGCTGGGAGTCTGGGGTACTTTAGGGATCTGTAGCATGAGATACTCCAGATGAGCTGGAGAGTTAAAGTAGGAAAGGGAAGAGTTGTGAATTGGGTTTACTTTAAGAAACTTTAAGTTGAAATTGAAAATTTATTTCCATTAGTTTGATTGCTGTATTATGCATATTTTGAATACAAATCTCTGAATTAGCAGAACCACATGACACTCAGGATTTATTCAGGTTCTAGAAACATATTGATTGATTAATTGATTGATTGATTGATTGATTGATTGATTGATTGATTGATTGAAAATATAACCTCACGCACACACATATTGAATGCTCAGCAGTTAAGTCCACTGGTTGCTCTTGCAGAAGACTCAGGTTTCATTCCCACATGGCAGCTAAAAACTATCTGTATCTCCAGTTCCAGAGGAATCTGCTGCCCTCTTCTGACCTACACAAGTGTTGCATGACATGAATACACTTATCACACATATAAGCAATACACTTATAAAGGAACTATAACCTCATCACAGGGCCTGCTTTAGAAACTTCATGAATTCTTTGATCACATCAGGCCTTAATATTCTATTCCAAAAATAGAATGACAACACGGAGAAAACCATCACCATATTGAATTTTCTTTTAAAACTAGTTGCTATAATGAGATTTAAGGGTACAGATTTCCTAGAACTATAGCTTTGTTCCTGAAGAACTTTCTAAGGTAAGATGGTATCAACTTTCATGAGAGTTTAGAAACAGCAGGATTTAGAAAACAAAATGAAACAACAAACAAAAAGCAGTAAGACTTCTAGACACAGTACATACAAACATTCATGTGTATGTACACATACAAACACACTGATAAAGGGACAAAATTTAATCATGCAAAAACAGACCTCTGGAACAGGCTTAGAGATCCACTGAGGCTCCTGTATGGACACTGTGTAATGAGAACATAGCTCTAATATTTCAGTTCTAAACATCATTTGGAGATTATTTTTAAAATATGATTTCATTCTGGGATTTTGTCTGGCTTAAGCTTACACAGATCTTGTACATGCTGTCACAATTGCTGTGAGTTCATATGTGCAACTGCCATATATATATATAAATTTCATCCTATGTGTTTTCTTTCACAACCACCAATGACTATTGGCTTCTTGATGAGGTGCTGAGGGCAGACCCTTATCTCCTTATATCTCACGTGTAGATGAAGTACTCTGCAGGTTCTGGAGAGCTGGTAACTACTGTTGGCGAATGAACCAACAGTCTTGAGTGTCTACACTGATCAAGAGACTCCTTTCTAAGCTCCAGGCATTTCTACTGGCTAGTCAATGCTTAAGAGCCCTAGTATGTCAGAACTGACTCCATCACTGGGCCCATCTTCGTATGAATCCCTTCTGGAAATGCTTTTTCTTGAAAGTCAAATAATAAAATCCATTGTGCTTTTTAAATAAAGCCAATGATTTATTTTTGTATAATTTAGGCATTTTTCTAACTCCTGAGTACTTTTTAAATACTTTATAAAATATAGTAGTAAATAGCATACTTGAAGGTAAATATTTCAAACTATACCAAAAATACAACATGAAAAGCAAAAGAATTCTCTATTCTCTGCATTCCTCTCCTACTGCTCATAACAACCACTGTTAATATTTCTTGTGATATTCCAGTATTTACTGTATATATTTTTTATTTACTGCATACACATTGGTATATTGTACTTATTGTTATATTACACAAGTAAATATTTTATTAAATATATAGAAAATGTGCTTTGTAGTTTGTTGTTGAAGAGTTTTTCATCTTATGTATTTGGGATTCCTCATTTTTCTTTCATGGATTATGGAGATAGTATCATGTCTTTGAACTGAAACACTACTTTTTTAACTTCAGTATAAAGCAATACCTTCTTCAATATTTTCTTTTATTTCCAGTTATTGAGTTTGTTCATAAATTAAGAGGAAAAAAGCTGTTTGGGGGGTTTCTTTTTAGTTGCATTAGCATTAGTAGCTCACTTTAACCAAAATGGTTATGAGCAATATCTCACAAGAAAGCTAATCTCTCTATATTTTGGGTTATTTTCTATAAAAAGAAAATGTATAATTGTGTCTACCTCATAGGGCTGTTACAAGAACTACATGAGTAAAAGCTTGGAGAATTGCCATGATCACACCTGTCCCCTCTCTTACCACTCCTGGAAAACTCACTACATCATGGAAGAGAGCAAGAAGGGGGTGGGGGATTTAAACTTCAGTTCAAAGCAATAGGCAAAACTCAGAATAATATGCTTCAAACATAGCACATAACTGCCAGGGAGCTGAAAAATGATTTGCGTTGGGTAGGGTTAGTCCAAGAAAGTATGATTTTTATTATTTTTAAAACTTGAAAATAATTTCAAGCTTAAAGAAAAGTTGTCATAGTAAATAGGACACAGATTCAACATCTACTGTTAATGTTTGTTCCATTAGCTTCATTACTTTCTCTTTGCCTCTTCTGTCTCTCTTTTTGTCTGAGTATAGAGCTATTGTTATACAATCTTTTCTGAGTCATTAAAAGTTACACACGGCCTATCAACTTATTCCTTATACTTCAGTTTGCATCTACTAAGAGCAAAGTCATGCTCTTAAATAACCAATTATCAACTTCAGAATAGCAAACACTGTCACTTTTATCTAATCTAACACTTATGTAGCAACTTTTCACTTGACACAATAATATCCTTCTTATGCATTTTTTCCTTTTATACAGGATCCAGTGGGAGACCATATATTGTATTTAGTTGAGAAATACAATTTATTTTCCAGCTCTTTCAGAATTGTTCCACAAAAATTATTTTATATCTACATTTACCTAATCCATCTCAGTCAGTATCTGATGTTTGACCTTAAATCCCTATAGATGGAAAACCAGTGTTTATGTCTGTGTTGTACTGATGTGCTTGGTACTAAAACCACCCTTTCATTCCGCAGATCACTTGGAAATGTGGGCTTGTCCTGTGGCCCTCCTAAAAGAGCTTCTGGGAGCAGACAAGAAGGATCATCCTAATGCTGCAGCTGTCACCGGCATGTGGCTTTCTTTGCAGTTAGCTTCTGATGCAAACTACATTGAAAGTTATGTTTGCCACTGAGCTTTATTTGAAGCATAGTTCACACCTACATTCTGGGAAAAGAACAAATGTGTGTATCCTGTGCTATGCCTGTGCTATGCCTGGAGGACTGTTGGAGCATTCGGAGAAGATATATTTCTGTGTAGGATCAGACAATCTAGCTTTGAAGCACATTTTGCTAAATGTGTAGCACTGAATATTGCACAGGATGCTGGGGTTGGGAGGCAGTTTTCCAAAGTTATAACCCAAAATAAAATTACTGTGTTATTACCATACTTTCAAAAAGAGAAATGTAAAATCATTTCAATAAAGCATTAAAAGATAAAGAGTGCAAGCTTTCTCTCAAGAGAACATAATGACCACTAGGAAAATAAAAGGCTCTACTTCTTCACTACCTTTCCAAAATGCCAAGTAGACACATTGCTTAACCTGTTTGCAGTAACAATTTTATCAAATGAATATAAGTACACATTATACATTTCCTTTCTTAAGGATCAGGTGTGTCATCTTTCTGCAGAATAGTCTCATTACCTTGTGCAAAATCAGGTGGGTTTGTTGACCTCTTCTGAAAATGATGACACACTTCATGTTGGGATTGTGGCTGGGGAGATCAGCATGGGCTTTTCCACATTGGGCTTGATCACGTTTTTAGCTGAGGCTTACCAGGACACGTGCAACACTAGGATGGAGGCAGAGGAGAATATCCTTTAATCCCTGCCAGGTTCCAGCTGCAGGGGACTTTGCCCAGTTTGCTTTGTACATCCCTGCTGGCTATGAGAAGACATTATTTTTCCTTGTCCACTCTTGTTATCTGTCCTTTCACTATCTGCACATTCAGTGTAAGTGCTGCCCGAGGATTTTCATGAAGGCACTGTGACTATATTAATAGCGCTAGTTGGGTATCCTTCTAGGTTCTTCTCCAGCCCCTCCCCCACTATGGAGAGGAAGCAAAATGGTCTTTGATTTCAGCTTTATACTTATGCATGGGATGGGATGATAGAAGATAATCTAAGGCTTGACTATCCTCCATCCCTGACTATTTAAGGAGTGCTCCAAATCAGTTGAGAGCAATGGAGAAAAACTCTTGAGGCCATCACCAGGGCTCAGCGAAGCAATGACATTTGGTGAGGGAAAACACAGACAAATCATAATACTGGTTCAAGAAACAAAAAGCAGCCCTAGAAGGGCGGCAGCAGGAATAGAAAGGTGCTGTGTCTCTTCCTAGTCTTTGACTGTCTCAGATTGAGAGAGCTCTTCATTTTTAGCCCAAGAAGTGTTAAATCTCAAAACAAAATGTATTTCTTTCAAAGCTGCTTTTCACCATTAACTCAAAATCATACATTTTAAAATTAATTTTAGTATTTTCATCCACTGAATTTATAATATATGTTTATAATAAGAATTAAGGAAATCAGGGCTGGAGAGATGGCTCAGTGGATAAGAACACTGGTTGTTCTTGCAGAAGACCCATATGGCAGCTGACAACTGTCTGTAACACCAGTTCCAGGGGATCTGACAGCTTCTTCTGTCTTCCGCGGGCATTGCATGACACAGGTGCACTTAATATTTTTAAAAAGAATTAAGGAAATAAAAAGGCAAAAAGAAGAAATAAAACAAAGACTCTATGTAACCTTACCGTTCATTGGTAACACTGATTGATATTTTAGTGTGTACAGTGCCCTAATTTTTTCATCTTAAACACGAGCACGTTTTAAAAAATTAAATCCATATTCTACTGTGAATGATGTGCAACTATTTTCTATTAGGGAATTTTTGTTTCTTTCTTTGCTGCCTCTTGGTACCTCCAGTGCTTCTGGAACTTGTGATTCTCATGAGCTTCCACAGATGGAAGCACCAACCTCCATCTCAGCAGTTTCTACAGCAAACATTGCAACATGGTGGGCGTAATGTACTTCTAGAGAGCTGCAGAGGATGAGAAGTGCGCCCTTTGTCTCCAAGGTCATGATGGCTCTGCTGACTTTAATTCCTTTCACTGAAGCTAGTGAGAACAACTGGAAAATACCAGAGAGAATGAGAGCCCCCGCCCTATGATCCCAAATGAAAAAGAGAGAGAACACAGAAATTCCCTATGCATTACCCCCAGGTCCCTTTTGTGCTGTTCTTGCCAACACAGCAGCCATCCTGCTGTGTCTATATCAGCTGCCACTCCTGTCCCCATCACACTCGGCACTGATCATTCGCTGTCAACAACGATGGGGAAGGTGAGCCAAGAGAGGAGCCGTCCTTGTCTGTTGAGCATCTCCCCTGTGAGGATGTGCCCTCCATCTGACCATGTGCTGTTCTCTCCTTTTCCTTTGCAGATCACCTTCTTCTAGGACCGCGGTTTCCAGGGCCGCTGCTATGAGCGCAGCACCGACTGCCCCAACCTGCAGCCCCACTTCAGCCGCTGCAACTCCATCCGCTTAGACAGCGGCTGCTGGATGCTCTATGAGCGCCCCAACTACCAGGGCCACCAGAACTTCCTGCGGCTCGGGGACTACCTCGACTACCAGCAGTGGATGGGCTTCAGCGACTCCATCCGCGCCTGCTGCCTCATCCCCCAAGTAAGTGTGGCTCTGTCCTAGTTATCAGTCTCTGGAAATACATATTATCATCTTAAACCAAGTCATTCCAACTAGAGAGCAGAAAGTGTATGTGACACCTAGTGTGTGTGATGCAGTTGGGTACCTGAAACAGGAATCTCATTTCTCAGGAACTATGTGGTGAGGTTTTAAAAACTTGTGCTCCCAGATTCTATATTGTAAATGCCACCAAACTTTAAACACCAGTACCTAATTAAGAAAAAGAGTATAAAAGATTAAAAGATACTGCATTTACTATTTGTTCAAGATAAATCCCCCCCCCCCACCAAACTTTAAACACCAGTACCTAATTAAGAAAAAGAGTATAAAAGATACTGCATTTACTATTTGTTCAAGATAAATCCCCCCCT